TCTGTTCTGAATACAAAGGTTCTGGTTCTGAATATGAGGGTTTTGGTTCTGAATACAAGTATCTTGGTTCTAGTTCTGAATGCAAGAGTTTTAGTTCTGGATGTGATGATTCTAGTTCTGGTTCTGAATACAGAGTTCTAAGTCTGGGTTTAAAAAGAATAAATTAATAAAAAAAATAAATAGATAAATATATAAATAAATAAAAATTTACTATCTATATCATTATCCAATCTATAATATTATCAATTTGAGTTTTAATTATATCTTGAGCATTTTCTTCATTATAAATATTATTAATATACAGATCATTAACCAAAGTATAATTACTGTGAAGCTTATTTCATATACCATTTTATATAGTATCTTTTTGTATGCTAAGTACTATGAATTGTTCATCGTTATAATGAAAACCTTTAGACCAAATGTTCAGTTACTTCAACTAGTAGTTTTTTACACTTTCCTAATTTTTGTTTCAGAATTTCATTTGCTTATTTAACAAGCCTTTGCAACTCAGAGTGCTTGGGATGGCCATTGATGATTTTTACAGAGAGTTATAGGCTAACAAGTTCCCTAATAACTTATAAAATAAACTTTTTGCTATTATCTGATTGTAGTATTGTTGGTGATGATCTGATCAAATAAAAAAGATTAAAAAGATAAGATGTGACTTCAATAGCTCTTTTTGATATAAGTATTCTCGTTCAGAAAAATCTAAAAAAATAGACTCTTACATGATATACGTATTTAAATTCTTTATCTAAATCAAATGAAAGATCTATTAAATCTATTTGTAGATAAAAAAAATAATAAATAAGTTTGATAATTAAAAAAAATTAAAAATTTAAATTTTCTTAAACTTTAGATAAAAAATTATTTGCTATAATTGGTTTGGCTACTAATGGGTAGAATAAAAGTTTTCTAACAATATATATTGTACAAATTGTTTAACTATATCCTGCTTGATCCAACTCTATTTTCTTGTATAGATATCTATATTTGTTTTTATCTACTATGCTGGGTAACTATAGTATAAATATGATACAAGACCTTATAAAATTTTTTAACATATAATACAGAATTGCCTGAAGCTTTAATAATAACTCATAATTACCAGGTTCAATTTTCTTAATTCTGAACCTTTTCTTGGTCTAGTCTTGAGTGTTTTTATCATAAAGAGTATAGTTATTTGGATTTGTTAAGATAATTTTTTATATTCTATACTGAAGAAAAAATTGAAGTAATGTGAAGATAGCAAAATGTATTAAAATAAAAAATTAAACAACCCAAAAAGGCTTTTTATTTGTATTCATTACACTCTGACCTTATTTACATTTTACTTTCATTAAACTCAATTAAACAAACTTAAACTCTTAAAACTAAAGATAATACTATTTAAACTCTTAAATAAAGATTGTATAATTGATTAGATTCTGTTTTAGATTATGATTGAGGTATCTTAAATAACAGATCAACAGATTACACACCTCACCTGACAATTATTATTTGAGATGCATTAGCTATAATCTGAGGCAAGTATTAGTCTGAGATACAACATATATAATAACTTACTATACATCACAAATTTTGGATATAACTTATATATAACTTATATATAAAGTAAATATGTAAGCTACAAACCTTATATATCTAGTTATAAGCAAAATATAAAACCAATAAGTTAGCCAATATTATGATCATTATTTAACTTTTTTGCCACTTTGCCTCAATGATCATTAACTGATTAGCTATTATAAAATAAATTAGTCTCATATACAATAGTCTGTTTTTGTGACTTTTGCATTAAGTTGATCTTGATTTTTAACTTATAAAACTATACTATTAAACATTTTTTTTTTTTATTTCTTTTTTCTAGTATTGATTTTATTATTACTATATTTATTTCTTTTATTTTTTTATATTTATATTTCTATATCTAATATTTTCTGTTGTTATAATTAGTTATTATTCTTTTTTAAATTATATTCTTATACTTAGCAAAAATCTAGGTTTTTTAACAATATAATTATTATATTATTATTTTATAATTTTATATTATTATTTTAGAATTTTTATATTATTATTTTAGAATTATAAATTATAACAACATAAATACAATATAATATAATTTAATATATTAAAATTATATTATAAATATATTATAAAATATTTTTATTTTATTTATTTAATTATATTATTATTATATAATTTACAAAATTACTATATTTTGCTACTGGTGATTATTACCAGTGATTTACAGGTATAATGTATAAATCAAAGTAATTTTTTAAAACAAAAATTTAATTCTTTTAATATTAGGGTAAGAGTGGGGATAGCATGTTTTGGTTAGACAAAGGTTATAGTAAAATTTTGCAAGAAATTTTTTTTGTTAAGGCCTAAAAGACGGTTTTATAGATAAAATTTAAAGATACAGTTAATTTTTAAAATTTCTTTGTTTTGTTACACAAAATTGATTTACACATTACACCTGATCTTGCAAATTAATTGATTAATTATATACTGGTGATGATTACTAGTATGATAAATAGCAAACTCCTATAATTTAATATATTAAAATAGTATTATAATTATATTATAACAATATATTATATACTAAATTATTGAGAAATCAACTCTTTTCACTAATCATCAAAACACAAAATTCAGAAAACAAAAATTAATAAAAAACTACAAAAAATATACAAAGGCTATTAAGAAACATAACTCAAAGCTCTAAGTAAAAAGGAAAAAGACTATAAGAAACACTCAGTCTTTTAGAAGACTTGAGTAAAAAGAGTTAAAGCAGCAAAGAAATAGAAGAAGTCATAAACAATCATTGATATTTTTTGCACTTTGAAAAATTTTGGGAAATCAGCCTTGACCCTGAATCACAGATCTGTTTTGATAACACAAAAAACACAACATATAATAAAGAGTAAACAAAGAAAACATGCCAAAAACCACCTGACGAAAAGAAACAATAGTACTAAACAACCACAACAAACAACAACAATTAATGACAACCAAAAATCAACAAATTATATAAAGCAAACCAACAACAACAAAAAAACAGCAAATCATGCAGAATACTCAATTAGAATCAATAGAAGAGAGCTTAAAAAAAAAGAAGCAGCCAATCTATGACCTAGAAATAAGGTAAAAAATCAAGCTTTCTTTTAGCAAGAATTAGCATGAGTATCTGATAAAAAAAAGAGCAAGTATTATAGAACAAATGCTAGAAAAAATAGTAAGAGGTGTGATACCTATTATAGTAGAAAAGGCAAAGACACAGATAGAAGCTCTATATGAAGAATTACGCCAATATAAAAAAGAAAAAATTTAGTACTCGGATCTTGCACTTAGAAAAAAAAACTTTCAATACTATCGTGAAGCAAGTTTAAGAAATAAAGATATAGCTATCTATAATATAATTGAGAAAATAAATGAAATCATATGCGAATTAGATATAGCAGAGTAGATAAAAAAGATAATAGATACTAGGGCAAAGCAAGCCGCTAAATTAAAGCTAAAATTAGAAACAAATTGAAGCAAGAGACTTCAAAAACAAAAAAAGAGTAGACAATGATAGTACAATAAAACAGCTCTAAGAATTTTAATATAGCAATTTAAAGAATCTGTCAAAACCACCACAGCAAACCAATATATGATGAAAAGGAAAGCTAATAAAGAAAAAGAAAAGATGCAAGCCTGGCAAAAGGAAAACAATTAGCAAAATTAAAGTTAAAACTAGAGTTAGAAGCCTGATAAAGTAAAAAACAAGCTGCTGAATTAAGATCAAAGTTGAATCTAAATTAGAGCAAGAGACTCCAAGAACAAAGAAAAACTTGACAAAAGCAAAACAATGAAATAACATTAAAGACTCTAGTAGTATATTTCAAAGTATCCATCAATTTTACCGCAGCAGACATGAAGAAGAGAATAAACAAAGCTAAAAGAAAAAAGGAAAAAGAAGTAAGGGACATGATATTTCAGGTCTTACAGAAGCAAAGACGCTAAACAAGATTCAAGAGGAATCAAGATCAAAAGTCATATTAACAATGCCAGAAGAATAGTTGACAGAAGTATTATACCAAATAGGCATTAAAGAGTTACAGTATAATAGTAAAATGTAGAGAAAGAAGAAGAAAGATTTGCTTGCAAAATAGATACAAGTAGGGATGAATCAGTCCTGGAAAAACCGAATAAGGATCAGTCTTTTTTGCTAGTTCAACAGTTAACTAGTCCCTGGTTCTAGAACCAGTTCAGACCAGTCTAAAAATAGGATTGAATATTATGTATTTTCTTTTAAAATTTCGCTTATTTATTCTAAATTAAGTAAAAATATACTTATTTCTGAAAAGGATTCTAATGGCTACAAAATTTTAATGTAAAAAATTTTTTTAATTATCTATTTATATAAACCTCAGTGTGAACAACCTAGTTCCTAACAAATAAAAATTTTCAGCAGCCAATTTAAATTTTAATTTATATATATATATGATACAGCCAAATTGTTAATTTAACATAGTCAATTTAATATATAGAGTAGCCAAATTTAGTATATAGCTCAAAATTATAGTAAATATAGGCCTGTGCATGTACTATAAAGCTTACAAATATCAGGTCACATTTTCTATATATTTAATAGATTTGGCCCTGTGCTTTTATTGTTATAAAATTTTTTCAGCCTACACAGTTCGAATGTGATTTGAGACCATGTATTCATGTTAGAATTGAGTTTTGTATAAATGTATAAAAGCTTAATGATCTTTCAAATACCGAAATAAAAAAATAATAATGTTATATTATATCTAATTACAAAAGTGCAGAAATGAAATTACGTTCTATAAAATTTTATTTGCATGATAAAAATTATAATTCAATCATGATACAACTAATTTCTTAAAAGTATTACTAATTCGAACTAAAAATTAATAATCTTTTTTTAAATTTGTTTTTCTTTCTTAAATTGTACCAGTTATACATCATATCTCATAATTATAATGTGCACAATTGATGAGCTTCTTACCTTTAATCAAGAAAATAATACAGATGCTGATTTTGCAGTTGACCAAGAGAATGGTGAATGTCAAGAAAGTGAATCATCAATTAGTGAATCAGATGAAAGCATTAATTCACAACTACAAAAAAAAAAAAAAGAGAGCATTCGTCTGTGTAAAAATATATTAATAGATCTGATCAGACGTGTAAAAGATGCGAAGCAAAATATGGAATAGGTACGAGTGTCTTAATATTAAAGCAACATCTAGAAGACATACATAATATTATTGCATCAAAACAACAAAAAAAAAGACTTATGAATGATCATAATACTCCCTACTCAGTAGAAGAATGGCAAGAGTGTGATGATATAGTAACTAAATAGATATTGTATGATTTACAGCCTTTTACTGTTGTTGA